ATCGATGCCAACGAAGCGGGTCGCTAATGAGCCTTCCATTCTGCAAGCATCATTCAAGTATCTCACACCGCAACACCATTTTGAACAAAAAATGGGAGTAACAACCTACAGACTCACGTCAGTACTAGGAAATACACTAAAATTAAGCCCAGCAGCAAGACTGATTTTTCACAACAGGTGATACGAGGCCTTATCATAGATGCTCATCTTTCCAGAATACCCCTTTCTTCGTCTAAAAATCGAGCTTCCAATTTTGAGAAACTAATTGCAAATTCGGATTCCCCGACCCAGGTTTACATTCGTTAACCTTTATAGAAATTCATTATTTCCCAGAAATACCCCTTCCTTAGCTCAAAAATCCACTTTGGAATTTTGAGAAACTGATTGCAGATACGGATTCTCCGACCCCGATTTACTTTCGTCAACCTTTATTATAAATCGTTATTTTCTCGAAATACCTCTTCCTTAACCGAAAAATCCACTTCAAAATTTTGAGAAACCGATTGCAGATTCGGATTCCCCGACCTCGATTTACTTTCGTCAGCCTTTACACAAAATCGTTATTTTCTCGAAATACCTCCTCATTAGCAGAACGGTCGAGGTCTCCCAATTGCCGTTACTCCGTTACCAGTTACCTGGTAACATAACGCTAAATTCCCACCCCTAATTGTACTTCATTGTAGTTTAACGTATTTCACTATACTTTAAAGTACTTTAATGTACTTTAAAATACTTGAATGTACTTTAAAGTACTTCACCGTACTTTACGTACTTTAAAGTACAAAAGTACGATGTTTCCCCCTTGCCTCAAGTCCTATATTATTAGGGTACCCTTAGGTCCTCAAGTCCTACATTAGAGAGTACCCTTAGGTCCTAATGTAGGCCTTGAGAACCTAAAGGTACTCTCTAATGTAGGACTTGAGGACTTAACGGTACCCTCCGAATATAGGACTTGAGGGTCTAAGGGTACCCATATTATATAGGACTTGAGGACTTAAAGGTACCCTCCTAATATGATTATCCAAGACTATGTCAACATATCTACTTTAACTTTAATTGGTTAAGTTAAAGTTAAAGTTTAAAGTGCGTTACTTNCATTTATCCTCTCATTTAGCGAACACATTTTGTAATTTCTTTTTAAATTTTTCAAGCAAAACGGAACCAAAGTTAAGTCATTTGACTGAAGTATCTCTCCATCTATCAGTTTTCAAGACATCAAAACCAAAAAATCAATTCCATATTTCAACAAGCAAAAACATTTCCTTCCGAATGACATTAAAGAACGAAAAAAAAAATTAGCTAAAGATAAATTTTTTGTTCTAAAATAGTCAGCCGATATTCAAATTAAAACATATTCTAAGGTTCCAAAAATTTGATGAAAATACATATGAACTACTTCAAAAAATGATTTACTATTCCAATCAATACTCCTTCAAGTAATGGATGTTCCAGAAATAGTAGTCACTTTTTGTTTCGCGAATATCTCTTTGACATTTTGTGTTAGCAACCTGATTTGTTTTTCAAAAGAATCTCTATTCAATTCGCTACAAAACAATGCATTTCTTTTTAGTAGATTGTTTTACAGTAATTTTTTGGATCATAAAAAGGAAAGATCTTCAAAATCTTGTACTCTCCAAGCGTGAAAATGGCGTTAAGTGTCTAAGATACTCCATGATTAGAATGGTTCAGTCAGCTATCATATAATTCGTTGGCGGGTGTAGGATTAGATCTGGTTGTTGGTAACCTCATGATCATCTTTAAACACTCATACCAATATTCAGACATCCGCCACCTACACCCACGCCCACCTTCGAATCATTTCACCTCTGTAGATACATACACACCCAAACACAGACTCATGCCACTTCGTTTCTTTAGCCATTGATACAACCTTTGAATAGGTATATTATCAAAGTCATTGGATCACTCTCTTACCCAAGATGAAATTGCAGTATTTGTTGCTACACACATACTTACTTTACAGGTATCTATCCTTTGAAAAATTTTTCACGATATTGTTTGAATTAAAATACATTATGTATCTTGTTCCTGATCTTCGTTGAGCAGATACAATATCAAAACTATCTGATAAATCCTTTAGCAAGGACGAAATCACGATAATCGTTGCTAGACTCATACTGCACATCCATTGCAAGAATAGTATGGATGAAAGCTTCGTAATACCTTACAATTACAAATTTTATGTCATAGATCGCCTAAACTTCCAGGAAGAATAATAATGAGTGAATATGTAAGTTTTCGAATATTTATTAAGTATTCTTTAAAATTAAATAATGTTACGCGTCTTTTAAAAACTATTTCTGCTGATTTTAATAAAGATGGTGTTGGAGTCCATAGCACGATGTCTTTTCTTAAAAGTCATTGTCCAAAAGATCCAATGGTATTGAATGTTTAAAGAAGGGGAAAATATTGTCATCTGGAGGTGGAGAAGGATGAATTTCAGGTAATAATGATGTTGAAGGTCTGGTTATTAGTTCTTGTGGTGAAATTGGAGACGTTCCAATCGTCCTAGAAGATAAGAGAGTAACATACAGACTAAAAAACGGATCAACAACAGTACAAAAAGAAAAGAGAAAACTCTGTACTTGACCGACACTTCACTGTACTTCAGCGTATTTGAATGGTATATCAAAGCAATTTTCTAGAAGTTTTTTTTACTATTTCAAGTCTATTTGCAACATGTAACACAAACGTATAGATTTGGGTTCATTTGTATCAGGAAATAAGATGACATGTTTGGGTTTAATTCCACGGCAGACTTATATTAAATGAACACAAACTGAAATTTTCGTAGTACAATTTGATAGTAGACTTAAAATAGCTAACAAGTCCTACAGGGTTGCTTTGATAATATTCTTGAAGTTTGCTGAAGTACAGAATTTTCGATTTTTCCTCCTCCATAGAGTAACATCATGTTGGTCGTTTGGAATGTTATGCAGTGATGATGAATTAGAAAATTATAAGATGGCTGTCTATTGGAAGAGGAATAATAAATGCTCACTAGTCATTTATTATTATTAGATAGATCGTCTTCCAGTTTCATGAACGTAATCTCCCTTTCTTAAACTCTTTTTATTTTCTTAAACCTAAGCAAGAGTTTGTGACCCATTGCTAATTTATAAAACTTAGTTCTGTTTTCTGTGCTCATGAACCTTTCTTCAGTGTATGAACTGAATAGACCATCAGATGAAGAATTCATTATTCTACAGTTGTATTTCAAATATATAGTGGTAGACCTTTCACCTGAGAGTGTTTTATGTGCATATACCAAAAAAAAGTTTATGAACACAGAAAACAGTACCATGGTAAACGAATTTGCTATCGGTCACAAAGCCATGCTAAGGTTTATGAAAAAAAGAGCTTCTAAAAGGCTAGATTACGCTCATAAAGACTAAAAAGCTTCATCTAATGGTAACTAACGGATAGTGAGGATTTATTAGTTTCCACTTTATTTTTTAGAGTGTACTCAGTGATAATTCATCGTACTACTCTTAATATGTTTTAATAACTAGTATCGATATCGAGTAATGTTATCGAAACAATATCAAATAATTATGCAACATTGTAATTCATCATAGATTTCTTTGTACCATTCACTATTATAGCATACATATACTACACAAACATACAGCGTAATAAAAAGAAAACAATGAAGAAAGCAGATTCAGAATACACTTAATTAATCATGTTCATATGTAATGAACATTTAATCATTGAGCATAAATCCCAACTGGCGCTACTCAATCGAAGATTCGGTACTGTTATTTGCACTAGCAATCAGCCCTTAGTCTTTAGTATTTGAAAAAAGGAACGTTTGAGCGAGATTCATCGATTTTTTCAGAAGAAATCTACTGTTAAGGTGTGATATTCTCTTGCAGTCCTATACAAATCTTAGAAGACTCGGTTAAAAATTTCTTTGAAGGATTCTTACATCTTGATAGGCAGATTTTCAATAACGCTGAAAAATATGGTCTGCACCTAAAATAACATGCTCTATGAAGTGGATGGAATTTCAAGCCATTCTAAGATTGTGACTGATCCCTACTCTATGCTGGTATACTGTAAAAATATTCTGTATAATAAAGAATGAGAAAAGGGTTGTAGCAAGTGCAACCAATAAAGAATTCTTTTTCAGTCTTTTGAAGATTGAAAACAACTGTCGAAATGTTTTTTGGTGCGTCTAAGAACTCTGGAACCAGTTTTTTCAATCTTCAAAATATGGAAACCGACCTCTTTCTTGGTTACACTTGCTACAACCCTTTTTCCACTGTCTTTTGTATGAAATTTTTGTGCAGTATAAGTTATGGCTCAATTAGAATGACTGTTACATGGAATATGTAACTGTATGAAATTTTCTGCTCGTCAAGAAGAGCCAAGAGAAAAAAAATTATGGAAAGAAATAGTGAGAAGTGCAACAAGAATGAAGAAAAAAATCTTACGTTAAAAATATAGTGCCTGTAAAATAGATAAGACTAATTTAGGGCCAGATGTGATTGTTATAGGATGAGAGAACTAAACAATGACTCATGCTTCCTTATCGGCCGGTCCGATCTAACTTATGTTGACCGATGTTAATACTAAGAAGAAAAAACACCTTCGGTAACAAATTTGTCTTGTATCATCTACGTTGTCTGACCTCTTTTTTATTGATTTTCTTGAAGGTAAAGATGGCCAATTAAGATAAGGACTTCTATCAAAAATTGTCGGTGACGCATTTGAATTTAGTTGACCTAGTTTGTGCCAATCTGCCGTAGGTGAAGTTTGTGGACGACAATTATCAGGATAATATTCAAAGCCATTCTTAATGTAATCCTATTTTTAAAGAAACTGAAACTGAGATCGTGATGGAAGACGAAAGACACAAAATGTACCTTTCTAGTCCATCTGGTGAAATCAGGTAGGCGAATGTCTGGAGAAATATATCGATTTTCTGCAGCCTATAGAGGAAAAATGGACGAATTCGAACCGTGAAGAAACTTTTAGAGTATTGCACTGATTACTTTTGCACTTGCAGCTCGTTGACGTTTCTTTTCATTTTCCTGTTCGTTCCACTTCTTGTGAAGTCGTAAATGCTGTTTGTGCAATTCTCTATAAATAATCACAATGAAGGTTTTGATCATATCAAGCAGAAGATAACACATTGAACTTACTGTCGAGCCTCCTTTTGAAATTTCAATACTGCAGCAATTTCTGTTCTTTCAGCTTGGGCAATATTCGCTTGATAAACTACTTCGGGGTAAACTTCGTTGTTGTTATTAGTCTAATAAGAAATAGAAAGGTAAGTAAGAGAGCCAATTCTATAAACGCTCACCAAACCAAACTTTTGTAATTGTTTCAATCGTCGTTCATCTTCGAAATAAAGCTTTAAATATGGATCTGTAAAGCTCGAGTATGGTCTATTGAAAGGCTTCATCATCTAAAAGTAAACTAAAGAGCCGCTAACCAAAATAAACAAAAATAAGCTAGAAGCACAATTAGATTAGATATGAATGAAAAGAAACGTGATACAAACATCTCATTAGTTCTTTTCAAATAGGATCATATAAAAATGAACTGATGTTAACCGATGACAACACTGTTTGTTGTTTGTATTATTTTTGCGGTTTATATTCTAGTCGTTCTGCTTCTTCTTTTGTTCCAATGCGATAAGGGTATAGTTTAAGAATTGTTATAGGGCTAACGTAATGTTCTTTCTCTCCAGTGATAATTCCGCAGCAATGATAGAATCCATCTAATGTCCATGTTTTACCTTCAGTTTTTGTTAAAATTTGTCGATCACCAAATGCAGACACCACAATCTTTATTTTCCCGTCTTGATCTCTCGATGGACTACAAACAGCTTCAATCAATCGTTGGTTCAATAGTTTGGTTGAATCATTAGTCGATTTTTGTTCCTTACGTTGTTTTTCATTTTCAACAAGTTTTTGTTCTGGTAGTTTCTTGGGATCATCAATCGGTTTTTTTTCCGGTGATTTGGATGAATCATCAGTCGGTGTTGATTCCTCATCAGTTTTTGCATCATCAACACTTTCAAGTTGTAACAAAGATTCTAACATGAGTGCTACAGCATACTCTCCAATATATTGCGCTTGTTTGACATATGCCTCTTTGAGTAACTTTTGTTTTGTTCCCTTGAAGAATTTAGATATTGACTGACTGGCTTTAGTAAAACAATTAATATCTGTTTTTTCTTGCTTTTTGTTGATAGATTTTGGATCATCTTCTAGTTCTTTCAATTCCAAGAGCAATGGTTCATAGGTTTCTGTCAGTTTTTCTGCAATCTGTTGAGATAATTCCCATAATTCTAGTGTACTTCCTAAGAAAGCTATTTTAGTCATAGTATTCTTCTGTCGCTGATAATCAATCTCTTTAAGAAGCGTAACAACAGGTTGTAAGACTTGATTTATCGGTTCTCCGACAACAGGTACAAGTGAAATAGGATGGCCAACCAGTGTTATAATTTCAGCAAAATCTCCAAGTTTACCTTCCATTGGTTTTACTTTACCGCTTGCAATGGCTTTACAAGCCATGAAGAGTTCTTCCAGCTTAAAATAGACAGTACAATAGTAGAGTTTCAGGTTTTCATTTTTGGAAAACTGTTCCATAGCTTTTTTATGTTTGTCCACAGTGTTTATAGCCATGTTCGCAATCATGAGGTTATACGTAATACTTTGAATTTTATCTCGATAAGATTCATTCTTTGCTTTCTCTTCAAGCATCTTAATTTGCTTGTGAAGTTCTTCTGGTTCATCTAAAAGTTTATTTAAATTCTGCATAGCACGAATATTGTCTCCAGCGTCCTCTTTCTGTAACGCATTGATTAGAATGCCAAGCGGACTGAAATCAGAGATCTTAATTGAAGAAAGTTTAATAGTTCTGCTATCATTCACTTTCTTTGATGGGCTAATTTGCTCGATAAATGCAGTTGTATGACTGACAGCTTCATCATAGTCTTTGAGAGCTCCCGTTTGATCTTTCATTTTAGCCTTCACTCGAGCACGACAACTTAAGCAATAAGGTTTAACTTCTTCATTCGTTAGTGTAAGAGCACGATTAAAATCAGATAATGCTTCAGGATATTGCTCTAATTTATCGTAACAGATACCTCGATTCAATAAGCCTGGATATTGACTTTGTTTTTCCTCACCTTCGATGAATTTGGTGTAGTATTTTACAGCTTCTTCCAATTGATTGTTATTTTGACATGCAAATGCATATTTAAAGTAATAATGATTGATATTTTCTTTACTCATAGTGCTGCTATTCTGTATTGCTGTTTCCAGGGCACTGCTTGCATCTTTATATTGTTCCTGTTTAAGGAATACCAATCCGAGATAATAAAATGCTTCACAATTCGTTGATTGTAAATGTGTAGCATGTTTTAGATCGATTATAGCTTCCAAATATTTACCATTTCGTGCATGGGAGCGACCTGAATCGATGAATTTTGAAGCATCATTTTCATGTTTTTCAGCAGCAGTTGAGCTATCATCATTGGGTAAAACGTTCAGATCTATGTCATCCGAAGCTTCAGTCATGACTGAAAAACATTAAGAAAAAGCAAACTTTTCTCCAGAAATTAATTCAGTCATAGTCAACGGGAGAAACCTAGCGCATTATTCTTAATATACGACGACCAGATAAAATAAGCAAGTTACGAATAAACAATTAGAAGAAAGGCAAGAGTATATGGATGAAAGAGAATAGGACAAAAATTTAGAATGCTGATAGTGTAGCGTTATGTGGTTAAAAGTGAGAAACAAAGACCAAAGTCTTTCTTTTTTTTTGATTGTATCATCAAGTGAATACAAAATGCATAGTTATTTATATGTTATTACCAAAATCAAGTAATATAGACCTAGGTTACATTAGGTCAAATCCTGTCTGATGCCCGTGCCAGGATTAAAGAGAAGTGTGTATAAGCACAATAACTAAATAACAACAACAGCTAGCGATCTGTGATTTTCATCAATTGAAAGATGTGAAGTCGAGATATGATTTCTCCCGATAATGTGTAAGATAAAATCCTTTTAAAACTAATCATCGTCAAAAAACATGCAACATAATACATGAAAAATGGTCTGCTATCTAGATGAAATTTTCATTTTGACCTTTGATTTAGATAGATGAGCTTCCGATCTAGAGTTCAAGATACAATGCAAATGGTTTTCTTATTACATTCTAATATTGAGAAAATGGAATCACGTATATAAATGCGTAAATAATAGGAAATTTTGCTGAGTTTTTACAAAGTTTTCGCACTTTTTCTCATAATAGCTTGATATTTCAATGAAAATGTAATGAAAAGTTAGAAAGTGTGTTGTATCTTGAACTATAGATCTGAAGTTCCTCTATCAAAATCAAAGGTCAAAATCAAAATTTCATCTAGATGGCAGGTCATTTTCATGCATTATTTTGCATGCTTTTCGAAGATGATTAGTTTTATAAGGATTTCATCTTATAGATTATCGGGAGAAAAGATATCTCAACTTCTCATATGTGAATTGGTGAAAATCGCAGATAGCTAGCTGTTGCCGTTATTGAGTTATTGTGCTTACACTCTTCCCTTTTTAATTCTGACGTAGACATTAGTTTAGAGCTGATTCGTATAAGAACATATTCTAACACTATTTTCATATGTTCCAAATAGAACTTGATCAGTCCTATTCGGTGCTGCAAAGCATTTATCGGTATAAATTAAAATAAACGAGATGAACCCACATTACCGTATTTTCTCCAACTAGATAGACACACACCAAAAGTGATTTTTGATCGATTATCTCAAGAACATGTGGGTATGGGTGTGTGATGTCTGTATGGATGTGGATAGAGGAGTGAGAGTGAGTGTGGCTGAGTGTGTGCATGTAGGTGAGTGTGGAACGGATAACAAGAATACTCATACCGCGCATCACACCTACACCCACACTCTAATATCCTGAAGCTTTGCTCGAGTCTCTGACACATTGATCAATTCTTGGATGTTTCCGTGGTTTTTCTGAAGCAGTGCAGTATGGTCAGGAAGTTTTTGCTGTCTCTGAAGAAGATTGATCAATATGTTAAAGATTTTTACGTGAACGTAACACATTCATCAATACTGTTATAATTTCTGTCCCTGAAAGGCATTTCTTTGTGGGATGGAAAGGAGAAGAGTGTATGGATGTTATTAGGTGCGCATGGATATTGGGTGACAGCGTATCGGTTAAGGTAGATGTAAGTGTTTATGTTGCGGTGTTTTTTCGGAGTATAGTTCCTTGTGGTGTTTTGATGTGTGACTGTGGAGGGTAGCATTGAGTTTGTGTCAGTGAGCATTTTTCTATACATCCATACCGGCGGTCTCTAAAATCCCTTGTCTGAGACCTTTTACTTTTCCTCTAATCGACTCTTGTCAGATCGAAAATGATTTCCCGTCTCTCATACATATAAGTCACTACTTTGAAACTTTTCTCACGCATGTAACACATCGATCGGTTCCTTCAAATTTTCGCACACCATCTGAAATATTTCTGTGTGTTGAAACAGCTTACGCTCTCAATCAAACAAATATTAGACTTCTGATACTATGTGCTATTACTGTCAGAAGCTCTCCTATGATGTGAAAGCTTTCGCCTTCATTAATAGATATTGCTCCGTAGCATGAACATGAGAGCAGATAATTGGACACACTAATTGGTTCTCTTACGTTTTTTCGCCGACTCATTCACACATTTCGCTGTACTCTGAAAGTTTTGGCTTTCATGGAAACACTTTCATGGCTAGCGTGAGGTTTTTAATGATCGCTGTAGCACATGACTGGGTTATTTGAAACTTTTTGCAGTCTCTCTCACGTAATCTTCTTTGTTTCAAAAGTTTTTTGCGTCTCTTAAATACATTCGTTGGTACCCTTAATACCATCGCCATTACCCTAAGTCACGAATAGGTTCTCCAAAGTTCTATTCCTTTACTAACGCATTTCTCTGTTGCTGGGAAATTTTCATCGACGCGAAAATGCACTGATGACTGATGTGAAATTTTCGTGTTGGCTCTTACATATCACCGTATATTCGAAACCTTTCTGGGTACTCCAATAGATGAATGGGCGAGGTGAGACTTTTCCAGTCTCTATCACATTCTGTGTAGTCCATAAGTGTTCGCCATCGACGAAGCACATTCATCTGTTGTCTGAAGCTACTTCCCTTATGAACACATTTTGATGAGTCTTTTTAGGCTTTCTCTTTTATCCTTCTGATCAGAGCTACGATTAGTATTTTGATGGTACTGGATGTGCGTTCTCAATGACATCTTGACGTTTTGCATGAAACCCAAACTCAATAAGGTCGTTTTGCTTGCCGTCTTCTACTGCACAAAATGATATACACCAATCCTTTCAATCCTTTAATAAGCAAGAGAAAATTAGAAAATAGTGCCTAAAATTACAAGTACCAACAAGTACAAGTACTTTCTGTGCTTGAACACAGTTTTCCATTGAATAAATGTCAGATCAGACAATTTTGTATGGGTGTTTTGTAGTTCTTAAGGAAACGAATAGAATGAGTCAATTTAGCATGGACTTATTTTATATAACATTAGAATTATAATAGAAATACATTGATTTGATTAAAAGTACTTGTCCTAGCTTTACTTCCCATGTGTATGCTCGTAGTTCTGAGAATATTTATGTAAATCTCAAGCATCCTGTGCGGTATGATACTGTTTTCAGGCACTTAGTTCAATGGATGAATCGCTTAGAGTCTTTTGAAGTCCTTTTAGTACATAGTATTGCAGTGCCTAACGCTGTAATGCCTTGATTTACACACATTGATCGGCGAGCTAAGTGTTCTGACCGAGCTGTCTCATAAATTCCTATATGAGTTTGAATATGTTGCTGGCGTTCTCATAAGTTTTAGTATCATTTGAAACTGTTTACTGGTATTATGATAAATGGTTGAGTAATTGTGGCTCTTGTGTTGTTACCGTCGTCGATGTTTTTGAGAGCAGGATTCTTTTCTTCATGACTCTCAGCGATTCGTGTACTACTTGCAGTGTTCAACTGTTACTCTAACAGGTCGCTCTATTGTCAGCAGCTTTTTAAGGTCATTTCTATGGATTGCTCTATGACATTAAAGTTTCCACTACTACTCTAACGGTTTGGTGGAACGGTCGAAACATTACGCACTAACTATGAAACACAATCATGCACCCAAAGTTTTTTTTATCTGAGTTTCGCTTATAGTTGTTCGGGATGAAGCTATTTCGTCAATAGTTTTACGCATCGCCATCTGGCTCTTAATGATTAACCCTTTATTTCATAAAGCTCTGAGTGGTTCAGCCTGTTCCTCTAACTTTGTTATATCAGTGAATGGAGCGAAGCTTTCTGACCTCTCTGTTATAGATTTTGATGTGGTTACAAGCTTTTCGTCTTTGTTGCCCAGTATCATTCTGTGACTGACAGGTTTTGACTTTTATCTATGCAGACTGATTTGCGACTAGAAGTTTTTCCATGATTACTCTTACCTACGCCCAAAGTTTAACATTACGTCTGTGTCTCTTTAATGTAAAGTCTCATTAAATTTGTAGTTACATTATATTGATTTTGATTTCTTATCTCTTTAATAACTGAAGTCGATGAATAACGTGAGAAAAATATAGAGATAGACTACTCACAATGACCTGGTACTAAGTAAATAATACTCAAAATGGTATCTTGTGCTTTTCGAATCTTCCTAATAATTTACTCACTATGATCAAGTAATTGAAGCGAGAACACGCTAGGTAACTTGAATAATACGCTGGTGTTGATAGAATTTTTTGCGTCTTACACCGTTGGCTCGTTTTCTTCGAATGATTCTTATCATACTTTCGCAGTGTTTCAAATCTTTTTCTTTCACTGTTATCTGTGTTTGCCTTCTTTTTTTTTTCTTCGTTTTCCTTAAATTCTTGTTAAATAAGTACTTTATAAGAAGGACTGCGCATAGCAGCAACAAAACATTCACTGAAAGATAAGGCGAAGGTTAGCGAGAAAGAAGCAAACAAACTTATTCTTGTTCAATGGCATTCATTTCATATGGAGTACACAGATTGATATTTGTTTCTGTATGATTTGAAGTGGCTGGGATCATTGAAAAAAAGACAGTGACTAACAACGAAATATTTCAGAGCATTTTTATACGATGATTCAATTATTGATAATTAACAAAGCACGACTATTTCTAAAAACAATTGTGGTATTTAATTTCATTTTGAAATGAGTAATAATTACATCACCATGAACGCGAGACACTATTTTAAGATGATACAAAGATTGATAATGTTCATTATAGTCCATTTTTGAATTAAAATAGGTATTTTAGAAGATTTGACCCATCATCTTACTTCTCAACAAGGGAAAGAAAAGTAAAAGCACTTAGTTTATTCATTTGAATTTGAACTTTAGAAATATTTACATTCCCAAAGAAGGTGTATGGGTATGGGCACTAGTTAAAAAGAAGACTCCTACACCAGTGGAAAAACTCACACTACATCTCTCTCGATATGGGTGCCGTAAGAATACTCATACTGCATC